ACGGTAATAGCTATAATTGCTGCAATAAATTTGAACAAAACTCATAAAAAATGATGTCCATTTAATAATAACAATAAAATATAACTACTACATACAATTACTTTCACATCAATTAAAAACACTTATATCCACTTTTAAATTTAAAGTAATGAATGAAGTTCTTTAATGATAGCACTAATGGTTAACAAACTTTTGGTCCATAAACTTTAAGATGAAAAATTGATGAAACTTATAGTTTGTGAGAAATGTTGAGAACCTAATATATATTATTATACAGTTTACGTACTATTAAGGGTCAAATTAGGACAGGCCAGTATCCCATCACATCTACTTCTATTCATAAAATCATATGTGTATTTTATCATAATAAAATTATCACGTACTTGCATTATGAAGTTACACAAAATAATGAACTAAGACTGTTACAACGTTTCATAAAGTGTACATGATCTAATAGTTAATCCGTACTATTAGTTCCTTAAACAATAAAACAATTGCAATAACATAGTTTTATTTTAAAATTATTATTAATTAAATAAATATTATGTTTTTAAAATACATTATTTGTTCTTGTAATATTATATATTTTTCTGATGGTGCTATGGTAGTCAAATTAAAAATCAGACAATTTTTTAATACATAGGTTGCCTAGTGTATAAAGGTTTGAATGGAGTTTTAAATTAATGATTACCTATTTTAATGTAGCATGAAAATAATGTTTCTGTTTCATATATATATATATCAATTACTCATAGAAATGTATTTATAATCACATTTAAAAAAAAATATAAAATTATCCTAATAAATTAGGATAATTTTAATTTATTTGTTTCACAATTAAAAATAAGACCTAATAAATATCTTAAAACGTTAATAGTAATATATTTGAGAACAAAATAATTTTTTTTTTTTACAATTTACATGTTATTCCAGTGTTTAGTGTGTACTGTATTATTATATTAATGTTTATGGTTAGATTATAAATAGCAATATTGAAGATAGTTAAGTTATATAATTATTACAGAGACTTATCGATTTGTTATTTCACATCGATAATATTAAATTGTATTAAGTTTCAAACAATTTTACTTATACATATATATTTATATACAATATACATACTATAATTATAACTCAAATTGTATCGACGAAAAATGAACAAATATAAAATATAGCGTTATATTATATTGACGTATCTCGGTTTTAGTGTACCTCAGTTCGATGGAAAATCGGCCTCGTTTTATGAACTGATTCAACCGAGATGGCAATCCGCCTATAGCGAATTGGATGTAGCTCTTGGTATACTTGTTATATTTTTGAACGTGATTCAAACTACTTTTTAAACTTTACTGATATCGCTAAGAATAATCTTTGAAACTTTCATCAAAACTGGTCGAGTAGTTTTTGAGTCTATTATAATATATGAACATACAAACATTGCCTTTTATTATAAATTTAATTATTCGAATAACGTAAATTAAATCAAATAGGATTTTCATTTTCTTGAAAAAAGGTCTAACGGCTACACTTAGAGAATCGATTGGTCTATATCAGTATAAGTATTATACTAATAATTATATAATTGTTATTATATTAATTCAAGAGTACTTATTACTTATATTATGTCAAACATAATATACTTTTATTTTTAATTAATCGCAGTATTGATTTAAACATTAGTGACTAAATGGTATCAAATTAATAATCGTCAACTATACACGACTATACTGTACAACTACTCGTATAACAAATGTCCAAGAATCTAGAATATATTATCCAAGGAATGCGGGAAATACGGCGTAAGATATTACTCCAATTGATATATTATAAGAGATTTAAAGTGAACACAAGAGCATATACAGAGAATATAAAGGCCTAAACTGGAAAGGCAATATTTATGTAAACGAATAAAGTAAATTAATTGAACTAGCTACGCGCCTACGAATAGGAATTGTTGTATTATTAGTTGACATGAAAATAATTAAATGTTCATGGTAAACACAATAATGACCCTCTCTCGATAACTTGTATGAACAACATTTTAGTCACAATTAATTACAAATGAAATACTTGATATTTTTTTTGTGAACAGGGAGGATTATCTTCTCATCTTATAACCGTCCTTAAGTGAACATTAAATACAATATAATGAAACACCGTACCCCTACTTATACGACTATTCTACTTATCTAAATCCAATGTAACAAATAATATTATAAGAATTGAATAAAATAATATATATCAAATGCGAAATCAATAAATACTAATTACTAATTAGTTTTTACCAGGAACACAATGTTGATGAATTAGCTGGACAACAATAAATCAAATTTTAAAATGATTTCAACATAAATTTAATATTATAATTATATTAATGTTCCAATAATAATACTATAAAAACATCTATATATCTTTTTAAAATATGTCATTTTATTTAAAATAACTGTGTCTATTATGTGTTATAAAATAAAACACATTTCGTGACTCAAACAACTAATAATAACTGTAAGCTAGTTTTAGTTATAACTATTATTACCAAAAAAATCTTAAAACCTGCAAAATATTAAAATGAAAGTTTTGCTTAGAAACAAATATTATAAACTGTTTATTGCATTAGAATTGTTTGGCAAAAATTCATCGAGTTTTTGGAATAAAAATCTTTAGTAAATAACATATATTATGAAATACATTGATATACATCAATTATAGAGTTTACACGTAAAAATGTAATCTTAAAAATTAAACATGATTAAATTTGTTTGTAAATAAACAATCATTGCAAATAATAATCATCTGCAGTAACTTATTATTTAATTAAAAACTTATTTCAAATAGTCTTAATTTCACAAGTATGCTTTTGGGATAATATGTAAATAAATTATTTATCGACAGATAACTTGTAAAAAATTTAATTAGTTTAAACGTCCGTGTCACAAATCAGAAAAAAAAACTATTACTGGAAGTTAGAAGAAATGATGAACAGCAAATTAATAATAGTAATAGTGAAAAAATATTATGACAGATTCCCATTAAGGATCGACGTCGTAATTTATTTAACATTTTCTATAGTACTGAAATAGTTTTATGATTGAGTTTTTCGATCAGTTCAAGTGTCGAATAATGGTAATATATTATGGTTTTCAATGTCCGTTTGTAGAAAATAAATCCTTGCAAATTTTTTTTCGATTACAATAATATTGGTACGCATTGACGACGACGAAATAAAAATTAAATAACAAGAGCGAATAATTTAATGCAATATTAATATACATTTATTGACTGAAATTTTAGGCGATCGCTTAGAAAACAATTATCATTATTTTATTTTTATCCCACTGAATCTCAACTTAACCTTACCGTAATAAGTCAACTAATGCTCATCGACAACCAATTGAATTACTCGTGTCTAATACACAAAATATATAAAGATATTAGGACTGTTTTCTTTTTTTTTTTTTTTTGTTAGTAAAATGACTTAAAAATTTAATATGGAATGTATTATACATTTTTACTTAAATAAAAATTAGCAAAAACCAAAAACTTATTTTATAAAGTTATACATTTAATATATGAAAAATTTATGAAAACTTGCAAATTATTTTACAACACAATGTTTATAATTTTTTCTATTTCAATTGCTGATGGTTGAAAAATTGCATATAATACAAGGATACATTTAAGTTTTTCTTATAGAAACTTTAAAACCATAAAAAAAATAAATATACATTATTTTAAATTTTTTACAATTTTGAAAAACATCGAAATATGAGTATTTAATGTGTATTCATATTAGAAAATATTAAAAAGTTAACTTATATATTATATGTAACAGTAAATGTTTATATTGTTTGAAATAAGTTTTTTTGGAACTAGTGATATTTATACTCCGTTACTGTAAAGCCTTAGGACCTTATAATATATACATTTATACTAGCACTATAAGAACTTTTGAAGGTAAAGACAATGGACATTAAATTAACAACAGTAGGTACAACGCAAAATATCGTTGTTGTCAATATTTTTATAACGAAACAAATGTACATACAAATCGTAAATAAGTTAATATTTAAGTCACGATAATAACACACATACGCGTACTACCGAGATTTCTGTCTTAGCGATACTTGAAACAGCAGTTGCCTCTCCTCCCGTGGGTGTGTATGCGGCGGTCATAAAAGGTAAGTATGTTTTTACTTCGTCATATCTCACTTCATTGATTCGACGTACTTTAATCACTAACTAATCTTAAATATATTTCTGTGTATACTTTATAGAACTATATAATGTCTGTCTATATATTATGTATATAACAATTGTGTAGTGTTGTATTAACGTTATTAGTATTGTTCATAGGTAATAAAAACAATATAACACCTAAAACCTAACCGTTAAATCGTATTTTGTCATGAGAAAAAATTGTTTTAATCTTAATTCCGAAAGGTTTCAATTTAAGAATTATTTATCCGAACATAATATTAGCAACTGACCAAGCTATTTATTGTTATGGAATAGTGCCAGAGCAATAAAATACAATTTTGGGTTCACTACAAACCACTTATAAACAGTTTTTCTCGTGATAATATACATACTTTTTAGAGTAGAATACTTAAAAAAAAACATGAATATCATATTATTTTTGTAATAGACTATCAAAAAATAATATTTTATAGAGTTTCAAATTATTTTTTTTTTGTTATTCAATTACTATAACCTCTTAATCTGAGTTTAAACAAAATAATTTAAGTGTTTACGTGCATAAACTATTCAAATTTTATAAAAATGTGAAGTAATATATTATTATAAAAATAAAATTCTAACATTTAATTAATACAAACTTATACTTATTTTACGATTAAAATCTTGATCTATAAAAACACACTTAATTTTAATAATATAATTTATATTTATTATTTTATAGATCTTTTAATAATAAATTGAATTCGTTTCCATACTATGCTATTAATAATGTAGTAAGGTAAATATATTGATATTATACTCACCAAGTACAATTTGTGCAGAATCATACAAAATATCTAATAACTTAATATCAGAACTTGAGTGATCACATGGTAGCTCGTTCCTATAAAAAGATAAGTAATAGGAATTAGTTAATAATTGTTATTCAATTGTTAATAATATAATAAATATAATATATTTTTGTCATTGATATATTTTATTGTATTGATTTTTTTTTTTTACGCCTTTATAGAAAATTTTTTGCAAAAAATTACTATTGAAATATTTTATACTTTAACTATCTATATTTTTTAAATGAATAACATATATTTTTAAATATTCAAAATGAATTAAACCTTATAATTAGTTTCAATTGTATAAGTTTTGTAACATGTTTTAGCAAATGAAATATTTTTTATCAAATTTTTGATTGTTAAGTAATTAAAATTCAAGTCATATAACATAATTTTCAATATATTAAATTATTTTGCAATTAAAAATTTCATATAAGTTTTGAAAAAAAATATTTGAATACCTTCGTCCGATTTTATCAGTTTATTTTTTGGCCATTTATTGTGCTACAGAAACAATCTTTTGTAATAAATTCGATGTAAATAAAATATATATATATATATATATACATTTATATTTTTTTTTTTTACCCTCGAGATCAAGATAAACATATAACGGATGTTATTGAAATTTCTAGGTGGTACTGTAGTACACTCCGTGCAATATTCTTCAGAAGAAATGGTGGATAAATAAGAAGGAGAGAACAACACGCTCATCAATCAGTGTCAAAGGCTCGTTGGTTCTTTTATCTCCTGTCTTTCTCTATATCTTTCTAGTCGTCTACCCTTGTTTTCTCCATTCTCTAAAATTTCCCACACATACTAAGTTTCTCTAAGACGTCCACACAGTTAAAAGTGTTGCAGCGTCATAAATGCAATTAATATGAATGATGTTTTTTCTGTTTGGTTTTTGTTTTTTGTTAAGTGTAATTTATTTGAGTTTTACGAGTTTTTTCCTTGCCTTTTCTTTGAATACTTTTTTTCCCGGTTTTAATTTAACGGTAATTAATCATGTCTAAAGTGTGTACTGCAATGTTTTCGTATACACAAAACATGTCACTGGGCTTTATAAAACATTAAGGTAAATTCGATCACCGAAAATATAATAGAGATAATTATATATTAATATAAATAAGTAATATACGTGTAAAATGCACGCTATAAGATGATGCCTGTGAACAAAATCCAATCTATACAATGATCTTATAAATATGTCACAAATAATTATTGTTAGTCATTTGTTGTTCCAAAAGTTTATGGTATATAACTTAATTCCAATATTTATTATCATAATCAAACGTCAAGTCTGACGATAAATGTACAAAATCAATGTGTGTGTGTCTAGTAATATTGTTGGATTAAACCTAAAAATCAACTAAGTAATATTATAATAAAGAACTGTTTAAGAATATAATAAGTTATCAATAGCTTATTTTAAGTACAGTCGGCTAATATCAACCGACTTAGAACGAAGTTTTTCAAGGTATAAAAAAATACTGGCTCCATATCGAAGAACATTGGGTTTTGAAAATTTAAAAAAGTTGTATACTGTTCAACTTTTTAGTGCAATTTTTAATATTTTAAATGCAATTTCGAGTGTATTTTAATGCAATTTTTAATATTTTAGGTGAAATTTTTGGTATATTTTAGTGCAATACTGCAATCAATTTTACTAGTATTTTAGTACTTAAACATCCGTGCTCTAATGATAACATTTCTAAAAAATAAATATAATAATAAACGTTTCACTCTCGTTGGATTCAAATCTAACAAACAATAATATTGACGCAAAATACAACTTAAAATGAAAAAAAACACATTTTAGAAATTCAATCTAATATGTTAGTGTTGGACCCTGAAGTTTAAACATCATAATTTAATAAAGAATTGAGTTACGCCAACGAATAAAATATAGAAAAAAAATACATTTTAAAATTACATAGAAAAAAATCCCTAAGGGATAGTATATGTGTAGGACCTACGCTGTAGGTATACCAAAGATTTTAAGAAATAACTAAATAATAACAATGAAAACTCTTCTATTTCCTATCAGTTTAAGTATATTTTTTTTTTTTTTTTTAACTTAATTGAATAATAATATTATGGATCAGGAACTAAATATAATTATTATAAAACTTATAAATTAATTAATTTATAATACGTACGATATATTATTGTGTTTGTGATTTTACTAAATTTACAGGATTATTATAGGACACAATAAATACTTAATAGTACGTAATAGCTTTTAAGATTCTAAAAATTGAAGTGACGATACTACTCATTGGTTAAAATGAGTGTACATTTTTACATTATTTTTACGATTAATACTTATTGATTTTCTATGTATAAAACAGTTCAACAATTTTCATCTACCTCTCTTTATATTGATTTTAGATATCTTATTTTTAAATATTTCGAAATAGTTTATGAGAAAATCACAATGAAAGGAAACAAAATTGGTTTTTTTCTATTTAATTTTTTATTTTCTCTAGAAATTTTAAAATGTAAATATTAGTATGTTTTTAACAAAAGCTCGATCGTTTTATTTATTTATTTATTTTTGTTTATAGTGCGATTGAGTGGTTTGTTACAATTTGTTTTAATAAAATATATTATTATATTGTAATAATTATATTCATTTGTTATGTATAAAGTAATCTCGAGAAAATGCATTAATATTAGTACAATCAATTTATATTATGTATTTTTTTTTTTTTTTTTTGAACTTCTTATTTTAAAGAAATATTTTTATTTAAAATTTTATTCAATATCAAAAAAAAAAAAAAAATTATGTTAATAAAAATTGATTACTAGAATGAAAAAAATCTATCCCACTTTATTTTAATAACTATTTAAATTTATGAAATATTTTGCAGTTATCTTTGTACATATACAATATACGTATATTTTATTGCGAGTATGTTACATATATTATTAAATGATTAAAATAAACAGCATGTTTAAAAGACTGTTTAAAAAATGGTATTGAATATTTCAATGACGTTACTATTGTAGCTATAAATAAAGTAATAAATTATAATAAAAAAATATGAAATATTAATTAGTATTTTTTTTAAATTAAAATTCACAGTATGTAAATTTTTAAAAAACTATACACATCAATCAAATATTTTATCATTATATGATTTTGAGATATTATATTTGTCATTATTTGTATAGAAAACAGTAATTTGTTTTCATTTTTATCTCTTTTAGTTCATTATTTATGCATATATACATTATACATACATAGATATATATATATTATATTGAATGGACTTAAATTGTATGTTTACTACCTACCTATTTTAATAACCATCAATATAAAAGACTTGACAAGTATAAAAATATAATGATATATTAATGCATTATAATCTATGTATATCTATTATTATATATTTAAAAAATAATATTTTTGTATATTTTAGCATTCACCTATATTTTTAAAATCATAAATAATAATGGTCTGGCCAAAAAATTAAGACTAAAATTAATAATTATTGAAATAAAATAAATATATTACCTACTTAATAATAATATTTAAAATAAAAACAAGTATTATTTTATTATTTTGGTATTTTAATAGAATATTTTAAATTATTATTAAATATTTAAAACAAGTAAAACATTATATTTACTAACAATAGTTCAACGAAAATCATTGAACACAAACAAACCCAATTTTTATGATACATAGACATTAATGCAAACTTTTATGTGTAGTTACATTGTTATCGTACTAGACACAATGTAACCACCGTCCATGATAATATAGCTTTTACGTAATGGCCAAATATATTATGTATAAACTTTTTTTTTGCAAATTTCAAAACAAAAAATTCTATAACTTAAATATTATGGAAATTATATTTAACAAAAAAAATTTATTTTATAAATATTACAGATTACAAGGTTTAGAGCTCAGTTAATTTTTTTTATTTTTACATTATTTATAGCAATAGCTATAGTAACCTAACTTTTTTTCATCTAAAATCGTGATTCTTTTCATGTTTTTTTTTTTTTTTTAGACTTTCAGGTGAAAATCTTCATGGATGGCTGAACGGGGTTTAGTTTAGGTAAAGATTTATTATTACTTTCTCCAAACATTAATATGCGTAGAGTACTAATTAGAAAGAGGTAGTTTAGGGGTTGTTTTATAATGACGAGGGATGAAAAAATGACTGTCGTTTTAATCTTGAAATTATTAAATGTATACAGTAGTCTGAGTAGTCAACAGTAAAAAAAAGTGTACTCACAAAAAACCAGTTTTTAAAAACGTAACTTAAAATTACATTATAATGGTAAAAAAAAAATATCAAGTTTGTTAATACGATATATTTATAAAATATTCTAGTTTTATAAGACACTTAAAGTTTAAATAAATGTCGTTAACATTTTTTATACTTACAGCAATTTTTTGTTTTAAACAATTTAAATTTATAAAATTATTTAATTAAATTTATTATCAAGAAATATGCATAGTATATTTAATTAAAATACGTATAATATGTGTAGATACTATAAAATATTACTGCCGTGATTACAAGTACGTGGTATTGCTTTTGATACATTATTATTATTTATTACAGTATATTAAGCAATAAAAATCAATGATTTCAAATGAAATAATTTGTCCTACTCAACAATCAATCATTTACGACATATTGTATTAACAAATTATTTTTACGATTTAAAATGCAAACTACAAAGCTACAATTGATATATTTAAATATAATAAAAATATAAATTTCAGTTAGTTGTATTTCTTTTATAAAAATGAATTGATCTGACTGAAGGAGATTTATTTGTACTGTAATGTTTAGTAATTTAAACATGGCTTTCGATTAAATCGAATTTCATCAATATTAATTCGAATTGAATAATGCGTATTAATTTGTGTGAATAGCAGGAATTTTGTCCCGAACAAATTCTATGCGTTATTATTCTGGCGAAGATTTTATCTTTCAGCTACTAATCTGACCGATGCGTGACAGCAACTGTGTCTGTGTCAGCATTGTAGATTAACTTTGATACATATTATTATAAGCCA